AGACAAGTCTCTCCAACATAAAAGCAACCACATGAACACATTATTTTGTAGCAACCCGATCAGGAGAATGAATCAACTTTCTTTCTAAAAGTGGGCATAACTGAAGAAAGTGTGGTACTTTCCCTGAAGACAGTTTTTACTTCCCACTTCTCTACTTGCTTACTTCTTCTTTTAAAGAGAATGCACGCTGGTAAAGACACAACATGTGGAAAGGTCTCCGTATCTCTCCTTACTTATTCACCATTCAAAAAGCTATTCTTTATTCATCTAATGTTATCTTAAACCAAGCATATGGGATAGTTATTCTCAGGAAATATTATTTTAATGAGATGTATTCACCCCATTTCGTCTAAGGTGATGAGGACTGGTAGTAGAACTTTTCCCACAATGATATGAGTTAAGCTGACGTTTCCATTCAATTTCACATTGCCTTGCTCTCCTAAAAGTTGTTCACATCTAGGAAGGATTGGATTGCAATTTCGACCTCATATCATTGTGGGAAAATTCTACTACCAGCCCTTTATCACAAAAAATACATCTCATACTACTGATATAATGGTAGTCACGAAAACAATACTTAATTCGAAAAATATGTGAAATTAAATGGAAACGTCAGCTCAATTCACATCATTGTGGAAAAATTCTTCTTCTACTTGTGCTTCATCACTTTAAACGAAATTTGGTGAATACATCTTATACTACTGATTTACTGGTAATCTCGAAACCCTTCTCTTATACAAATATAATATTATTTTAAGCCGATTCTGATCATTTTCACAACTGTCTCTTTCGGCTAGTTTTATGCTCAGAATACTCATAGATTTTAAAACTCTCACCTTTGTTTGTATAATTTATTTATTCATTTAACCAGATTGACTGCAATCTTAAGTTGGTAATGGAAATGGAGTTGAACAATATTTTACCCTTTTTAGATGTTTTAGTGATCAGAGCTGGTGAGAAGTTAAGCAGGGATGTCAATATAAAGCCAACACATGCTGGCTTTATACTTAACTTTTTCTCTAATCATAGTTACAAAATTTGTCCATGAAAACATTAGCCTAAAGAGACGAGAATGGCTAACCCATGTTCAGAGCAATTATTTGCTCGAAGATGTGGCCTTTAAACGTTGGGATTACTGAGCAATGGGCTTGAAGTCTTGGGAGAGGAAGATTTCCAGACATTTGAATGGGCATGGACGTAAGCATGAACATGGGCACCATATTCATTAAATCCTCGAATATGGCGAAATCGGGTACGGGAATTAAGGCTGTTAAGCTGCCAGCTTCCAGATTGCAGACGGTCAAACGGTGATTTTGATGTTTGGCAGCCTCCATTTTATGAGTCGTTTAGGAGAATGGGTGGCTGAACGAAGGTGAGGAGCCGTGAAAACGGTATCTGGTACCGATGCTGGACATGATTCGGCATCACAAACCCACTTGTTGCGAGACACTGTTGGGCGTTATTGGACAAAACGAGGTTAGAGAATTGTGTGAATAAGTGGATGGGCGATCTAAAGTAGAGTTGAGCGAAAGAGATGCCAAAAGGGTTGACCAGGAAAGTGGCCCAGAGGGTAGGATTCACATGTCACTTTGATAAGTTGCTCACGATGGCGCCTCTCATTGACGACGTCGACGAAATGTTTGCGAAAGTAGCCAGACGATGGTGGAGTGGTGGAAATCACGAATGCTCTGGCAGAGGACACGCGACAAGTTACGTTCCACGACGTCTCCCTGACTCCTCGAGCAAGCTGCCAATACCAACTCGAGCCAACACCATTCATCTGACGAGAATGCGACCAAACAGAAGAGCATACCATTTTGGCTTGCATTCTATAACCTAATCATTTGTATTTTATGCATTCCCGCCTTACTTTATTGTATCCAGGCGTGTTTGCCAGAATTGGGATCAGAAATTACGGCTATCTAGAAATGAATATTAATTGAATTATTCCATTATACACTCTCTCGTTATGTGCCCAAGTCTATTTTATTATTCTTCTTCTCCAAATAACTTGTGTCTACGAAAGCAATTTTCAACAGATATCTGCATTATCAAATATAAACCAATTCAATTTTTCACCTTTCCCTCGATAGTCGTGTACTTAATATATGATAATATTAATTATATTTCTATAATGTCTTTTGTATTGGCATGGTTTGAAACCAACCAATATTAATCCATCTCCTCCAGCTGGTGTTTATAAACGTTTGAATCTGCAAAATAGGAATACCACATAAAAAATTGAACTTTTTCTAGCACAAAACTGCCTTGAATTGGTGCATTATCCGGTCAATGCAAAGCATGCCAAAATAGAGGAGGGAGTGAAAGAAATGTTCAGTTTGGGCAGATTGACCATTGAGTAATGCAATAATGGGAATACAATGAACGGGAAGAAGAAAGATTGATAAGTTTTGTAGCAGTCATTCAAGTGAAAATGAGTCTCTATTTCCGCCTGAATGTCAGAAACGAAAGTCACTTCAAACGCTTGAACAGACAAGAATGGAAACCGCCGCCAGAACAATCCATCCAACCTGTGGACAATTAAGTGCATGGGCTGGTGTCTGAATCAAATCACTCAAGGAATGGCAAGAATAAGTTAATGGGGTTTAAAAGTTAATTATGCTGAAGAGGAACTAATGATGAAGCAGCTGATGGCACACATCGAAAAATGAATGTGAATAAGACGATATCTTTGCCTTAACAAAACTGTCGATGAATTGGACATTAGACATTACTGACTGGAAATTGAGTTGATGACTAAGATTTTAGTTGTGAGTGATTTAGATATTTCAATGCTCAATCTCATAGACTCGTCAAATAACCACCTTCGAGCTTGGAAAAGCAAAGTCAGCATCATAAATTATAATAAAGTATAGCCCTAGATTAGCAAAGAGGATCGAATTAAACTTCACCTAATGAATTTCGATATTAATTCACTCTTAAATAAGCCAAAATAAAAATATAATATGTACTAAATACTATTTTTATTGCAAAATTCATCGCATCAGGCAGTAATTTACAAATAAATTTTGCGTGTGCCTCCATTTTATGCATGAGTAAATACTCTTATGGATACGCAAACTTTGAAAAAAATACCAAAACAAAATAAAATTTTCTATCAAGAATTCAGTTAATTACTTTCTCCACTCAAATAATGCTTTCAGAACGCTGATTAATTAAATCAGTACAAATTAATCCCACAAGTAAATAAATAAGGACTAATTAAATTACAAAATAACATGCAACAATATTAATGCATAAATATTTGATGTCAGTATTTTATAGTGACGACGATTTCTTTAAATCCCCAGATTAGCAATGAGGATCGAATTAAACTCCACCGAATGAATTTCGATATTATTTCACTCTTAAATAAGCCAAAATAAAAATATAATCCGTAGTAACGACCAAACATAATACCATTCCAGTTTAGCCTGCATTCTTCATCTTAATTCTTTTATTTGATGCTTTTGGGCCTCACTTTATGTTATCTAGGCGTGTTTGCGAGAATTCGGATCAGAAATTACGACTAGCTCTAAATGACTTTTCATTGAATTATTCTATTTAACACTCTCTGCTATTATCTAACTCAGCCTACTCAAGCAACTTGTGGTTATGTGCCAAGTCTATTTTATTATTCTCCTTCTCCAAATAACTTGTGTCTACTAAAGCAATTTTCAACAGATATCTGCATTATCTAATAAAAACCTATTCAATTTTTCACTATCCCACCTCTCACTGACGATGCCGGTAAAACAATTGTAAATGTACAATGTCCCTGTTCCGTTGAGCACATAGTACAAGAGGCCTTCCACAGTGTCTCCCTGACTCCTTGAACCAGCAGCATACTGTCCGTTAAGACTCTCAACCATTTAACCTCACTATATTGCTTCATCGGAATGAGTCTAAACTACAACATGGCTACTCAACTAATCTCGACTATCTTATATTATATTATATTTTATATATTATATAATATATTCCATATTGTGACGAAGAAATCAATTTTTTAACATATTTTGAGGAAAAGCTGCTTCATATTCTTATTTGTATTTAAACTCCGTGATTTTATTGGTCAGCTATATTCTTGGTTTCGATAATTCTCTTTAAGATATCCTGTTAGGGGGACCTTGATTTCGGTTGAAAGTGCATGAAGAAGAAATTAATTGGTCGATCTCATTAAGCTCTGATGATGTCCATCGAATGATGGACGAAAGCTCAGCACGTTTTTACTCGAAACGAGTGAGGAAATCTTGTGAACTGCGTTAACATGAACGTCGCATAAAAGCCAAACGGTTGCAGTACCACGAGATTTATCCGTCCTCATCTGGTGAGATCGACCAACGATTCTCTTCTTCATGCACATTCATCAGAAATGAAGATCTCACTAACAATATATTTTTTCTTACTTGATATCCCGTGACAGATCTTAAACTTCCATGTCTACTCGGAGTATACTTTATTTCTTTAAGAAATACTCCATATTCGATCTTTGCATCCATGAAGATCGACCCTCCTTTTTACTACTCTTCAATTACCATAAATTCCAGAATTTTTACAATCTTGATAGCTGTTTTATATCTCGTCTAGCAGTATCACATATTCTGATCATAGTACAATTGGGATATGATGACTATACTTGTAAAACTATAAAATATTCACTTCCCTCGTCTCTCTGAATCTTAACAGGTAGAACAAAGCTATAATCTACATTAAACATTTATAAGATTCTCTTGCATCCATCTCACTTGTTTTTTCTTGCCCTGACATATCGAGATATATGCACAGTTTCAGAATGTTTGATTTTTTTACTTTATACTCCCTCCGTTATTTTTAATATTATTACAATTTTTATTTTTATTTAATTTTATATATTCGCTATTAATCTTATATTTTTATCATATACCAGCTAAAATGAGGCTGACAAGATTAATCTGTGGATATATTAGCAAAGACTTGAAGGAAATAAAAATCTATTTTATAGATTACAATGAGCTGTTTTCAAAGCTTTTAAGGTCAACATCAGGTATGCAATTAATAATTGGATCTTCTCACCCAAAAATATTACTTGCTGATAAATCAGTAGCCTATCGAAGTTAACGAAAAATATACTCTGCCTATATTATAGTCGTGCAAGTAGGCAAGCTTCATGTGGAATATTGGCTAATCTTCTTGTTTTTCGCACGTCTGAATTCAGAAGCCTGATTGAGGAGGCAATGCTAAAATGTGAAGTTGTAAGCTGTATAAAAGCTATCATTTTGATGCAATTTTAAGCAAAATTAAACATAAAATCAACTTTTTCACAAGGGTCATCCTGGAAGCCGACATTCTCAGTCCAATAAGGAGCCCTCACTAATCAACATGCTGGAGGCATTAAGGTGTCGTATTGAGAAGTTTGCAACTTTCTGAGGATAATCTGCTGTATCAATACTTGGATTTTTTATATTTTATTTAGAATAGGTTTTCATGCATATCAGTAAATTGGATCTGTGAGTAGAGTTCATACTATTTCTTTTAAGCTGATAAAGGACTGGTAGTTGAATTTTTCCACAATGATATGAATAGAGTTTTTGTTTACATGAAATTACACATATCCTTGCTTTCACAAAAGTTGTAGTTTCGACCTCGCCTAAGTCTTATCAAAACCCCCAGCAGGAGTCGAACCATGACAGTGCAGTGTGTTAGCCTGACACGTTAACTACTACACCATATTTTTATGAAACTCCTTTGATCAAAGGGCAGATGTGAATTTTCAGGAAAGCCAGGCATTTTGCCATATCACATTATGTCGTTGGATTGTGGATGAGGCAAACTTATATTTGCTATCGCAATAGATTACGTTACATTTATTTCGTTTTGCATAGGTTTTCGGGACTACCAGTAAATTAGCTCTATGAGGTATGCTTATTTGTGACATTCAATAGTAAACGTCAGCAT